TACATGACGAAAGCACCCATACCCACAAAACCCTAATATTTCATATCACGTTGCCAGGCATTCTTAAAAACTCAGTGACCGTAGGGTTTCACAATAGTAGTTTGTGCAACAAGAGTGGATATGGACAATTTACTCGAGTTGTACAGAAAATTTACAAATATTAAAAATTATTATTAATACTTGTAATTAAATTGACTTCATATTGACTTTTAATGTATGTTTAATCTCAATAACTAAAAAACATACTGACAATTAGTTTGACAGAATTGTAACTTATTTAAAATTTTAAAAATAATAGCAGTCGGTTGATTAAAATATTGTTACGCAGCACCCTATTATAAGAAACGTACAGATAGAAAAAGAAGTGGAATGTTACTCATCGCCCTACATTGTGCTGCGGTCGTCATAAGTAAAAGTACAAGTAAAAGAAGATAGAATAGTCCAGAAATGTATGGAAATGTCATTAACCTTCAAGAATATACTAGACGACAGTTTGAGAAGCAAGCTATATAAGGATGATCCTGACGTCAGTTTTCAGTTTTATGATAGACATTGTACGTTAATGTTATCAATTGCATTGTTATTGTAAAAGTTGAGTTGAAATAAATTGTGATACCAAAAACCTACGTAACAATATAAACTGTGATTGGTTGATTTCATTTTTTGCTGTTTTCGCACTACCTGTAATGGATATGAAATATATTCGTTTAGTTGAAGGCAATAGTATACTTTTTCGTTTTGTAATCTGTACTGAGATTCCAAATCAGTGCGAAATGCGAAATCGAATCGCTTTCGATACTCGCAACCGAATACGATATCGAGAAATTTGCTATTCCTATTCGCTATCGAAATGCCCTGCGTTTTGGTCGATTCCGAAACTCGTAGTATTCGTAGCAAGCATGCGCAGTACGTGTTTTAATTGTCAACAGTGCCATCCAAACTGACGGCATATAATAGGAAATTTTAATTTGTCTTTGTAAAGGAATGGTTATGCACACAATTTAATTTAACGCAAGGGCAGCAAATAAGAGTATGTATTCCTGATCAGGTGATCACAGTTAGCCAATAGCAGGGCTTAATTCTTAAATTACGTTAAATTAAATTCGTGCATAAACCCACCATAATTACCTATAATAATAGTTTGGTGCTGTTTTGTTTCAATTTAACAGTTAATTAGGTACTTACATTATTATTTTTTAAGGCAGACCTTTTACTTATATTCTCAAAATTCTTAAGAACTTCTTATACCAATGACATAGAATAATCAACAATAACAATGCTTTAAACTGTTTAAACTTCATCTAGAAATCACAACATCACAACCACTACAAGGCTACAACCACGTGCTATAACCTCAATAATCTACCGAAATCGAGCAATTCGACACCATAGAGCTGGCGAGTGACTCGCAATCGTTTTAGTCGATGCGAGTATGATTTCTTGCAAATCGGAATTCACCAAACCGTCGAAATCGAGTATTTCGATATCGAATTGTCAATGGGAATCTGCCTGCTGTGCGTAGAAAAGCTAATATCCATGTTGATGTAGAAAAAAAGCTGTTTTTGGTACTGATTCCTCGTCTAATTGAATTTGATGGAACTTGAAGCGAGATCTAAGCTAGTAAAATATTTACTACCCTTCAGAGAATCTAGAAGAACATCAATTCTTGGTAGAGGATACTTTTTCAAGGTCTTGTGGTTTAAAACACGAAAATCTAGACCCATGCGCTTTTACTTTTTAACCAAAAGAACTGATCCTAAATAGGAAGAATTAGAATCACGTATAATTTAATTTTTCATCAATTCCTGTAGTTTTTCTTTTTCATGTTCCGTAAATGCCATACGATACGGATAATATGTGATAGGTTCATTGTCTGTCAAGGAAATTGACATCTTTGATACGTTAGTTTTGCAGACTTCCGTTAAGTTTGTAGCAACACAATCGCGGTATTCATTAAGAATTCGTAAAAGACTGTCACACTCTGAACTATTTAGATTAGGACTAAGCTGATTTTTAATATCGTCGAATGCCAATTCTTTGAATTTCGTAACTTCAGTTTGCATCACAGGTATAAATAGAGAATTAACTTCTCGGTAATAATTATACCCTCTTACCTCTACCTTGCCTTTTCGTAACAAATATATCCATCTGAGGTATTTAAAATAGATAACATCCCTAACGTTAGTTACACATCGCGGTATTACATGAAATTGACCTGGTACATTCCTGTTAACATAAACATCATCGTAACTTAAAACTGAAATATGAGCTATGTGTAGAGATGGAATGACATTTGTTTCTGTAGCGTAAAGATTTTTTTTTTAAATAAGCGAACCTGAATACCATGTATAGGTAAAACTAAAGCTTTAACATCGGCAAAAGCTAGGTCAAAAATTAATAATAATTTACATTACAAGACCGAAAAGTAGTGTTTTGCAGGTCGAGATAAGCATATTCCAGGGCAAACCATAGGCGAGACCTGGAAGCTTGGAGAGACCTGCTTAACCCTAATTTTCGATCGCTTGATTTTTTAAGACTGACCAGAAAAGATACACTTTCTGAACAACATTTCGTCCAGAAAATAACGTTTTGCCGATCAAGGCCGGAAAGTAGACGTTACGGACCGGTGAAAACTGTTCTGCCTTGATTTTGTTACTATGGTAACAACGTTCCGATTTATTGCCAAGTGACAGTTCGTTGATGTTTAATTTGTTGTTTATGTCAAACTTGTTTTCGCAAGTATAAAAATATGTATTTGGATTTTGAATTATCTGACATAGAAAATGAAATTCCAGAAGTAATTTTGGAAGCAGCAAAAATGTATATTTAACATAAATATTCAAAAATAATGTATTTGGTTGGTTTATGTAGTTATATCCATTATCTAGTTTTATCTTTATTAAATAAAATAATTAATTGAGTTTACATTGAAGGGTCTGTCTTAAAAAAACTATTGTACATCACGACCGAAAATTAGTGTTAAGCAGGTCTCTGCTTGCCTCGACCTGTAAAACACTACATTCCAGTCTTGCAACGTAAATTACTATTTTTTAAGACCGACACTTCGTTGTAAACTCAATTAATTATTATATTTATTAAAGTGATGAACAAACACTAAAACTAGATAATGTACAGTATGGTTCAAATGAAAGGAATAAATTCATTATAATGGAAGTAGTTGGTTTTTCGAAAAAATGCTCGAACAGGTCAATTTTGTTTACTCAATACGCAATTTTTTAAATAGAATTCAATTTTCCCCCACTTCCCATTTTTGGGCAGTGACGTCATTGACAATTTTTTTAAATAGTAACCCCAATTTTTTTTTCTTGATTTTGTTAGATCTAGTTATTATTCGGAAGTCAGAGACACAATGCATTTATAGAGAATCCTTTTTCTAACAAGTTTGGATCGTATCGTTAAGGTTGGGTTCTACTTTTTGTTAGAAATTCTTTGTGATTCAGTTAATAAGTGTATAAATAAATTAAATTGAAATGGAAGATTTGTTAGATGGATGGGGCCTCAGCGACCTGATACCAATATTTAAATGTAAGTAAGTATATTTAGTTCACTTCTTGTTAGGTATTATATTATATATAAGTAAATTTATAATCATACGAACACGAAACAAACTAGAATAAGTAAGAAAAATGTATGGTGCTGGATGACGACTTTTTGGAAAGCCGACAGCCTAAGACAAGATGTCGCATCTACGAAAATTACGATTTCAAGATTCTTACAAGTTTAATAATCTTACATTTTATTTTATTATGATACAAAATAATAAAGGCCTACTTGCATTAGAAAATATTTACTATAATTATAAGAAAAGGTTAGTAAAATATGTAAAACTTATTTGCGAAGTCTAAAAGGACGTAATTATCTACCTACTCACATTTACTAAAAATATTCATTTTGTAGATACGACCTCTTAGTAGGACAAACTTTTATGTTCCATTTAGGTTTTGTAGTTATGAAATTATTTTTTTTAGTAATAGGTGGGATACCTCAGATGACAGAGGAATTTGGTACATTGACTAAAACCAATTTTGAAATATGTTTTTCGGTGGATAGGTACCAGTGAGAACCCTATTAAAAAACAAGAACAGCCTGTTCTTATTTCAAGATTAATAATTTCTTCAATGAAACTATCCTATAATTCAACCAAAATCAATATATTTATGTCAAAGCCAATATTAACATTGGAACAGTTCATGCTATTATTGTAACAAATTTAGTTGTATTGGATTTAAGAACAAGGTATTTATTGAATATAAATAAAGTATAATTAAAAAAAGTGCAAGACTATTTCATTTAAGATGTACATAATACTACAATTGAGCAATAGATACTCTTCATTTAATTAGAGGTATTTTAGTTAGGGCAAGTTGATTTTATTCTTGAAGCAAGGCTTATTAGCTATTGTTGAACAAGTATTACTACAGTTTAAAATCGAGACGAGTTTTACTTGCGGATATACAAACACAACAAAGCATTGAAATAAGATCATTAATCTTGAATATAGTACACCTTTTTTTCTGTGCAGGTCCCTCTCGTTTCTTTGCGGAGCCCCTCAACAAAATCCTCAAAATCATATCATCCTTCCTGACTTCTGAAAAAAAAGCCCCTTTAAGTCCCGTTGTAGCAATAGGTACTGCTTTTGTTTGTTATGACTATTATTTTCTTCGCGGAGCCCCCACAAAGGCTTTGCGGAGCCCCAGGGCTCCGCGGACCACACTTTGAGTAACGCGGCTCTAGGAAATAGCGCTTACGATAAAAAAGTCATGTTAACCGTCTGTCACGTAGTATTTGAGCTCTATAGTAAATTTGAAGATTTTTTCTTCCATACAATATGCGTGGTGGGCCGGCCGCATCGGAGCTAGATAAGGGGGGTAAAATGGAATAAAAAATTTCATGTTAACCGCCTGGAGTTAATGATAATCAATAGTATATGTATCTAAATAATAGACGAACCATCGTCGTCAGACAAAATTATTATTGTTGTGCTCAATCCGTTAACATTTACAAACATTTACTTTTATCATTGTAAATTCACTCTGTCTCAGTGTACAAAGGGTAAAATTGTATAAAATACCGTTTTTACCACTAGAATCGGGTTAAGGGTTGTTTTTGACAAAACACGCCTATTTCGTATCAATGTTTTTTATTTTAAACGTTTTTTAAATTATACATTAAGGTCGTTATCCATATTATCCATTAAATGTTGGTAGTCACTGTTTGGTTCTTCATCGTACATATTGGGATCACTAAGATGTTCATTTTCCGTTAATACTCTTTCAAAGCTGTCTATTTCTGAAAGAAAAAAAAAACATACATATACAAATATTATTTTTACTTTTATATTTTTCATTGAAATATGTGTTAGGATTAATATGAAGAAATGCCTAAGTTTTTCTTTAATAACTCTTAATATGTATGTATGAAAAAATTGTTGTTTCGTACAGTTTTTTTGGACAATGAACATTTATTATAAAAATTGTTTCTTTTGAAACCTAAATTGGTGTCGTCTCCTTTTTCGACGTCTTCCTCATCATCTTAGTCTTTGATTGAAGGAGGAAATTGCGGTCCATCAAACCATTTAAAAGTGTATGACAGCTGTCCATCGTTATTGTTTTCTTCTTGCCAATCATACTGCAGTGCGTCATTTGCTTTGTGATTAACATTGAACGCGTTTTGCCAAACGTCCGTGACATACGCTGCTCGCAAAATATTTTGCTTAAGTTCGGCTTTACGTAACGAATAAGCGTCATAATTGTTAATTTTTATAAAAAATCTACATATCCGTATTTGAATCATATGTTTCTAAAAATATTTTTTCATCCCTAGAATCTCATAATAAGGGTTGTTGTTGACACAACATGCATAGTTTTAGAATTATATAAAACACAGAGAAACGACTTCAAATTTTTTAATACATTATTTTCCTATTTATATTCTTACTACCAGTAATCAGTTTAATAAACATCCCTAATAAAACATTTATTCGTTTTATAAAAAAGGAAAAACGAGCCCATTAACAAAATTTTGGCTTCTTCAATTTTGTAACGGTTACTCTTCTAGTACCGTTATTTTTTAATATTTTATAACTATATTTTTAAAATGATTGTCCCATCTCTATTAGGACCGATAGTTTCATTCTTTCGCTACAAATATTTTATATAGTTATTTTTTGTTTTTTATAAGTTGTATGTTCGGATCGAAAGTGAATTTCGACAGGTATTACTTGAAAAAGTCTTTTACAATAATACCTCAGAACGAGGCAGTCGAGATTATTAAATCTGCTAATATTTAAGTAATCTTAAACAGTATGTGGTATTTTTATTAGTGGTGAGAACCATCAGTATTTCATGGTGAGTAAAAGATTAATATTTACAAGATTTCTGCAAAGATTAACGAAATGGATCGAGATTTATTTAGTTGTTAAAAATGTGAGGTTAGATGTTTTAGAACGGGTTATTAATTTCTGTAAAGATCTATTTTTTATTCATTCTGTGTTCAGAAACATCTTATCTCCTTGTTCCTTATTTTTCCTTATTACGTAAACTTCAAAAAGGTCTCAATCTTTTAGATAAGTCAACCTTTGGATGGTTTTTACAACTACGCTGAGAACATAGTTTAAAATATTTTTTTTTAAACAAACGCTGAGAAGACAGTTGAAAATATGTTAATTTATGGTTAGAAGACAGTTGAAGTTATGGTTACAAATATGTTGATTTATAGTTAGAAGATAGTTGAAGTTATGGTTACAAACATGTTAATTTATATTTAGAAGAAGACGCATCGCTGTAGGAGACCGTCCTTATTTGAGAAAGATTGAAGACCTACACCATTCCTACTTTGAGATAAGTTTCATTTTTATCTTTGAAAGATTAAATAAAGAAGTAATTTAAATGAATCATGGCTTGTGTAGATTGTAATTGTTACTTGTCTGCATAAACATATACATTCTGTTTTAACATCAGTCATATTAATTATATTTGCCAAACTATTATAATTCACCTTAAATGATATGTTTATGTAAGTTTGGTGGCGCCCTCCATACCTTTCCTATAGTTAAGTTTTGTCAAGGTTATTAAGTGCTACTCACGGCCCTAATTAAAATTGAGCTAAAACACGGTAAGTAAAACCAACATCACTTGTTACAATTTATCGAAAAGCTTTTATAAAATTAGGTGATTTAAATAAACTTTTAGGGTCATTTGTCTGTGATTTATACAGGGTGTCTGTAAAAGGTCTTTACAAAAACATAACACATATTCCTTAGACCAAAATAAGTTGATTTAAGTAAAATTAACTTAGTACAAAGTTGCTTCGTTTGGGCTCCAGATGGCCTTGAAGTTACAATTTTTAAATCGTTTTTCCCATATAAATTTAAAACGGCATAAGCGATTTTGCTGAAATTTGGTATATTGATTGAGTTTTATGTGGCCAAAAAATGGTATTAAAATTTTGTCCGATAATAATACATAGGCGTAGAACTTGATTTTTTAAATAATTGCACCTTTAAAAAGTTTTAGTATGAAATTTAGATTGCGCAACTCATTTACTTTAAAAAAGGTACTCTTGATAAGACTCGATCACTCTTATGGTTTTCGCTAAATTTCTGTTTTAATAATTTAGAGTGTATAGGTTTCACAAAAATATTTATTTACAACATAATCAAAATAGAAATTTTACAAAAATTATTCAAAATTTTCATTTTCACGCATACAAAGATTTATACGTCGAAGAAAATTAAAATGTATCCATTCCATAATTTCTTCATCACCTCTAAGATTGTTTATTGCATATTGAATACGTTGCCAGAGTTGTTCCTCATTTTCTACAGGTTCCCTGTAAACTGTGGATTTCAGATGTCCCCACAAAAAGTAATCCATTGGTGTTAGGTCTGGGGAACGTGGTGGCCAGTTTACAGGTGCTTCATTACCTCTGCCTATCCATTTGTGTGGATATTGTTCATTCAAGTGGTTTCTAACGTTTAAAGAAAAATGTGGTGGAGCTCCATCTTGCATAAACCACATATCTCTCTGAAGTTGGAGAGGTAAATCTTCTAACAATTCTGGCAACGTATTTTGTAGAAAATCGAAATAATTTTCTCCAGTTAATCTTCGTGGAAGTATGACAGGACCAACAATGAAATTACCAATTATTCCAGCCCACACATTAATTTTGAATTCGTGCTGAAAATGGTTTACCTTTATTGCATGCGGATTTTCAACGGCATAAACATGTTCATTATGGGTATTAGTTATACCTCTTCTTGTAAAACCCGCTTCATCGGTAAAGAGAACCTTCTTGACAAAGTTTGGATCTCTTTCTCTTTGCATATTATTAAATCGACAAAAACCCAAACGAATTTGAGGATCATGGACTAATAATTCTTGTACTGGCTTCTTATAGTATGTATATAGCAATTGTTCTCTAAGCACTTTATGAACAACATCTTTACTTACGCCTAGTTCCCTTCCAATTCGTCTGGATATTCTTCAACACGTTCTAAAATGTCTTCTTCAACTTCAGAAAACCTTACAAAACGTTCTCTTCCATTATCAACAGTGTTGGGAGCAAAGGAACCCGTCTCCCGAAGACGTCTCTCAACAGCAGCAAAAGTTGGGTGGCTAGGTACACGACAATTTGGAAACCTTTCAGAGTACACCCTGACACTCTCTCGAGCATTTCCTTCACAAAATCCTGTAACAGTCAGTAACATATCGGTATATTCTGCATTGGTATATTGTACAGCCATATTAATAAACCACGCATTTGTTTTTTTAATTATTGAGTCAGATAGAACACTTACAATTGTTAACAAGAGATTAGGTATTAAAACTTGACAATATTTTTATTTAGATGAAACTATGGAAACCAACAATAAATGTTTTTGTATACGTACCCAGCTAGCACATAACGTTGCCAAGCCTTTCGGCGATGTTGCATTAAGGGAACGTAATAACATTACTGTACAACGTAAATGCAACGTTCATGAGAAGTTGTTGAGGGAAATCAAAACCTCGCAAAACTTCTATTTGTTATTTACCTAGTTAACCTACCGTAAACATTACAAATCTGAATTCAGAACGTTTAGTTTTATGTCAATTGTCACTTGTCAGTTTTTCTTGTCAGTTTTTCTTGTCAATTGTCTTTTTTAATGGTTTATTTTTCGACATCCAGAATTTATTTTATAAATAATTATTATTTATACATTCGAATAGATTTGGTAAGGGTCCTCTATAAAATAGATAACTATTTTTCAGATTACAATGCCTGATGTAAATTTATTATTTCATTCATTAAGTATCTTTAGCAGTCGATGCCGATGACACCAAATAAAAAAAACTACAATAAAAACAAAAAATTGCAGATCAATCGTAAACCAGAAGATAAACATTTAACCGAATGTCCGGCAACATTTTACACCAAATACTTATAAAAGGTAATTATACTTTATCGAACTAAAAATACATTTTAAAAATATTATTTTTTAGGTTTCCTTCGACATTCTAGGAATTTTAGAAGCAAAAGTAAATACTACAGAAGTGTAAAGAAGAATATAACTCCTGAAGTTTTATAAAAAGTGAATCTATAGGTACATGATATGTCAGGTATATTAGAATTCAAGCAGTTCATTCTCTTCAACAAGCTAGATTGCCTGGAAATGCAACCATCAGTCAAGTGAAAACCCAGCAGAAAAGTTGAGAGAAATCATAGATGATACTCTCGAGTATAATAGAATATCTTGCTAAAAAACACCAGTTGTTTTTTATAAAATCTACATATTGATGGCTCAATCAAATACTGCCACAACTAAAATACTATTATTTCGAGAAATTTCATTTTGAAATTTTGTAAGTCTCTATTATCATTATTTTGTTTTTGACATACTCTTTATATTTTATTTAAAAGCTTCGATATTTTGCTGTTAAATAAAATGAATACGATTATAAAAGTTAGTTGTTGCATAGTTGTAAAAAATTTGGGTGTTTTTGAAGAAAATAACTCGAATTGATGCAGTTTTAGACACAGTTTGTGGCTACATTTTAAATGATTTATCTTTAAGGATATTTTTGTTTGTGGTGGTATTTAAAGTAAAACCGTAATGATATTTTGCATCCATTGAACCAAAAATGTAATTGCTTTGTTTTTTGACTTGTGGCGGTTTTTGATTGAGCCATCAATATATCTACTTTGGAAATCAAGCATAAAATTTGTAAAATTTAAACAAATTTCAATACACTAACATTGGTTGTTTTATTTAAAACAACAAAGTAAGGCATATTTTTTAATTTCTATATAATTTCCTTTAATTATAATAGGTAAACAAGTTATCAATTTCTTTTTTATTCAATGTATTGAGAAGTAAAATCTTTTTATATAAAAATATAATTTATGCTCTTCTAATAAATTGTCATATTTAGGTTACATTATAGCACTTTATAAATATCTATGCAAAAAAAGTTAAAAGGCTTGATTTAAAAAAGATATATCTCTGCGTCTTAGGTAAGAAATCAGCGAACTTAGCTATCCTCTAGTAATCTAATATAATAATATGTACCTAGTCATTGTTGTATTCGTTTATTATTTTTCACCAATCTAGCTTTATCATCGTTCACCATTTAAGGTTTTAGTGAACCTTTGCAATATTGGTACCTTATACTATTTAGCTAATTTTGTCCAATCGTTCAGTGCTTTCTAGGTAGCTTCTTCTATCCCACATGTGTACTTGTGTTTGTGATATAAGGTGTGTTCTTTTATTCAATAATTGTTCCGTGATTGATGTAATTTATCTATTCTGCAGTCATTTTATATTTGAACTCTTATATTTTAGGTTAACTTAAATGATTGATTATCCTCACCATTCGTCTATCACATATCCATCGGCTTTTAAAGCCGATGGATGCCTTGGCTCATTGGTGAATTCACCGCTGGAAAAAAGAATGATTGACACATACAATCGTCTTTCCATCACTTAATTTACGAACGGTTTGCTGCAAGCGCTGGATACAGCACTGAATAAAAGAACACACCTACACCTACCTCTACTTTTGTGCTATTGGTACTTGATTTCAAGAACATTTTAATAATAAATTTATATAAATATTTTGTTTTATTTGAAATTTTCATGTCTCGATTGAGATTTTACTATAGCCTCAATTTCAGCCTCTCTGTATTACATTACACAATGTGTGTCCACGGATGGACTTAATTATACTTGTAAAAATATTTATTTTAAATTAAAGAAAAAGTTGTTTTTCATAATTTCTCAATGTGAATCGAATTTATTTAACAAGCAAGAAATTATGAAGAATTACTTTTTTAATTTAAAATAAATATTTTCACAAGTATAGTTAAGCCCATCCGTGGACACACTGTATAATGCTGTAGATCTAATTCACATTATAACATCAATAGAACGTTTCAGAGCAACTTTCGGGGTAAGTACCGTAAAAGTGCTAGTGTGATGTTTTTCGAACTTCACTTTGTAACTTCTGTGAGATGTGCTATAAAAGTCTTGCCGCTGCGGACATTCGGTAGTTGCAGGGATATAAGGGTTACATTTACAGTACATTGCATGCGAGCTTAAAGAGCCTAAAATTGCAGCTTATTAACGTAGATGGGATGTTTTTGTGCTAGCTGGGTATTGTAGGCAAATAATTAATATTCCTCAAAAAATCGTACATGGCAAGAATCGAGTATTTTTATTAAAAGTCTCGATTAGAGGTGTTGAAGAAGATATGAAAAAAGTACATTTTTATGTTTTTCATCGTATAAAATTTTGTCCGATAATAATACATAGGCGTAGACTTGATTTTTTAAATAATTGTACCTTTAAAAATTCTACGCCAATGGCAAAAAAGGGGTTTGAGTATGAAATTTGGATTGGGTACTCATTTACTACAAAAAAGTACCCTCGATAACACTCGATTTACTCTCATGGTTTTGACAAAGTTTGTATTTTAATAATTATTGTTCATGTTCTAAAATTACTAAAATGCAAATTTCGTCAAAACCATGAGAGTAATCGAGTCTTATCAAGAGTACCTTTTTTAAAGTAAATGAGTTGCGCAATCTAAATTTCATACTCAAACTCCTTTTCTTCCATTGGCGTAGAATTTTTAAAGGTGCAGTTATTTAAAAAATCAAGTTCTACGCCTATGTATTATTATCGGACAAAATTTTAATACCATTTTTTTGCCACATAAAACTACCAATATACCTAATTTCAGCAAAATCGCATATGCCGTTTTAAATTTATATGGGAAAAACGATTTAAAAATTGTAACTTCAAGGCCCTCTGGAGCCCAAACGAAGCAACTTTGTACTAAGGTAATTTTACTTAAATCGACTTATTTTGGTCTAAGGAATATGTGGTATGTTTTTGTAAAGACCTTTTACAGACACCCTGTATAGTCATGAACAACAAAAATATGTTAATGATGTTAAATATAATTATATATTATTAAACGAGCAATTTATGGTAGCCATTATTCACGCAGGGTGACGTTTGCATCCCGAGAAGTAGGCGAGGGGCGCAAGTCACCCGAGTGAAAAATGGCCATAAATTGCGAGTGTAATACTATACTTTGTCCACGACCATTATGATTTCTTTATTAAATAAAAGTTAAGTGTAGAACGGAAAGTTTTTATTAAACATAGGTAACTAACTGTTGTTGTTTAACAAAGGAATGCTTAACTTACAAGATAACAGCATAAATACCTAGGTATTTATCATTACTTATTTACATTAATAGTTAAGTTAATACCGGAACAATTTTCGAATTTTATTGAAGGCAAGGATTTAAAATCAAAATTATTAGATGAATTTTGAATATTTTCAAAAACCTGGTTAGACCTACCGGAATGGGCCAGAATTATAAAAGCGTGAATTATCATAATTCACTCTAGTGATGTATGGGTATCATATGCTTTTAGTTAGTAGATGGAATACTGATTTATTATTAAATGGTTGTGGACATAGTGAATTTACACTGACAAAAGTAAAGGTTTGTAAATGTTAATGTATTTAGCACGAAAATAATAAATTTTGGCGGTTCCATATTATCAATTTAAAATTTCACGCATTTTTAACCCCATTTTCGAACTCTAGAGAGGGTAGGTAAGCATAAATATCAGATATAAAATATATTCTGTATCGTTTTTGAACCTATAACAGACAAAAATTAGTGTTTTCATTTTTAATCTCTTGGGAGGGACGTCGGGGGGTTAAATAAACTGAATTTGTCTGACGGAAACATTTTATACTTATTTGGAATAAATGGACTCCAAAATAGGCGGTTAGAAAAATTTAATAATATTGGCAATTTTTGAATTTTTTTACCACGCTTCCGAAATTTTGGGATCAAATTATTAAAAAAATGCCAAAGTACCATTTCTGACCGTATTTTTTCTTGATATACATGACAAAAGAAACAATATAAACAAAGTTTGGAGCGGTTACATCGAATGTTTTTATTTTGTTTTAAAAAATTCCCTGTTCGCAAACCGCCAATGTAATTTGTGTGACGACAATGGTTCGTCTATTATTTAGATATATACTAATGATTACCATTAACTCCAAGCGGTTAACACGATTTTTTTTTTCGATTTTTCCCTCCCCCCTTGCTCCGAAATGGCCGGCCCGCCACGCATATAGTATAAAGAAAAAATCTTCAAACTTACTATAGAGCTCAAATACCACGAGTCAGATGGTTAACATGACTTTTTTATCATAAGCGCTATTTCCTAGGCTATAACCAAATACATTATTTTTGAATATTTATGTGAAATGTACATTTTTGCTGCTTTCAAAATTTCTTCTGGAATTTCATTTTTAATGTCAGGTAATTCAAAATCCGAATCCATAACAAGTTTGACATACACAACAAATTAAAAACTAACGAACTGTCACTTGGCAATAAATCGGAATGTTGTTACCATAGTAACGAAATCAAGGCAGACTGTATTATCAAACAGCGATCAAAAAAATGAAAAAGGGACCGGTAAACTTTTACGGGTCCGTAACGTCTACTTTACGGCCTTGATCGGCAAAACGTTATTTTCTGGACAAAAAATTGTTCAGAAAGTGTACACTTTCTGGTCGGTCTTAAAAAAATGTATTTTTACTTTAGAATTATCGTATACAGTACTTTCGGCAAACCCAACGTAACCAGGCGAAAGTTGACTCACATGTAAGTCCAAGTGTGTTTGCATCAGTTTTTCTTATAGTTACTGGTTCGTAACAAGAGTCAACATAGCCTCGCATCGGCTCACCGTTAAGTATGAAATAAATAATTTAACAAGTATTAAAATCATCTGTAGTTTTAGAAATTTTTGGATTTTGTAAAATATTTAACGAATTACCTGTTGACTGTAGATCTGGACGCCTACTTGACAATCCCTGAACACCAACATTACATCTAATAGCTTCGTGACCCAATAAATGACATTTTGTACATTCCACTCGTACCTTTGGACAACTTGATTGGTAGTGACCTTTTAATTTACAGTTGAAGCATTGTACATTCTTCACGTTAGTTTTCTTAGGGAAATGGTGATCTTTGACATCCGTGTATTTGGGTTCAGTTTTGCGTCTCGCGAATCTTATTTGGGTAGAAGTTTCAGGTAGTTTGTCGTCATGTAACGTCGACAAGTATTCTTCATAAAGTGCTTCAGGTGTGACGTAACAACCTGCTCTAGCAACGTTTTGTAGACTTACGTTTGTAATACCGTCAATAAGACATGATACGGCATTGCTACCAGATATTTGACATGTTCTCAATAATTCCATTTTGCAAAAATAGTAATTTGTCATCGTCTCACTTCTTTGTTTGGTTCTATTTAGCATTTTTCGTAATACCATAGCATAGTCGAAATGGTCTGGAAAAGTTTTAGCGATAAGAGTTTTCCATTCAATCCAACAACTTGGATAACTTGATAGGCTATGATACCAATTCCTTGCCATGCCCGCTAAATGTGACTGCACATGATAAATAGTGGTCATATCATCCCAGTTATTGATGTTTTTGATTAGATCGATTTTCTCTATCCATTTCACGGCAGACAAGTTCTCATTATCGGGGTCAAATTCAGAAATACAGTTGCTTCTTATAGATAAACGTCGATTTTCTGATTGCGACCCGTTTTTGGCAATAATCTCTATTAATTGTTCTAGACGTTCAATTCGAGACTCTACGGACAATGCAGAGAGTTGAACAGTGTCTGCAGAATTTTGGCTAGTGTTTCCTGCTTCTTGGGAAATACACAGTTCCCTTACAGGAGTCAAAGAGCGTCTACGTAACGACGCACGTAACGGTCTCTCATTGTTTGTTTTAGACGAATAGGAATCATTTTTAGTGGTCCATTTCTTTGACTTACTCCCATCTAAGGGCTGGATAGACGAGCGCTTACGACTAATCCGTCGATGATTAGGTCGCGACGTTGGATTTTCATATCTTCCCTGTTCAGAGTCAGAACAGCTGGAAGTATCACTAGAAGAATTTCTTCGATCCATTTGTCTCACTAACACTAGTCACTAAAACTAATTATTAATCTAAAATAATATTTTGTCCACCCTGTATACACTATTTACTGTGATATTCTTGTTCACTACATACATGAACTGTAAACTTCACAAATAATTAAAAGTATATTATGAAGTTTAATAAAATACCTTTAAAGAAATAATAATAATATAAAAGAAAGGAAATAGGTATAGTCTTACAAAAAAAAAACAGACTGCATTCATGAACGCCGTTCGATGATCTAACCATCCAAAAGTTGGTGCCACGAGCTAAACGACCCTTTTCTGTCGACCGCCAGGTTTATGATGTTAACCTTTCCCAGAATCGGCTCAGGTTGAGGAACCGTCCAAACAATAGATTACACCGTTGTATGAAGATATTACAGTATAGTTCGTTGCAAATTATAAGATTTGGAAAAACCCAGTGGTTTTACCCGCGCTGATAACTGTAGTTATTTGTTGTTCTGAACGTATACAATAGTAAGTGTAGTATTTTTCATGGTGTAAGGATACAGGTGAAGCGGTGCGCAGGTTTTATGACGTCAACATCGGTATTGCCACGGCCGCCTATACACTGCCATGCCATTTGCCATTCCATGGCTTTGTTTACATTTTGTAATGATTGTCAAGAAGTTTAACTTTTATTTCCTAGTTCTATAATCATTATAAAACTGAAAATATATTTAGAAGAAAATAACAACTGCGTCAAATAACATCAAGTTGTGCTCAATAATACTTACAAGAAAAGTTACTATAGGCAGATAGACGCTTGTACAAAAGTATAATGCCAAATAAAAAAAATATTTTGTGCTTTTATACAAAAAAAGTAGGTAATTTATTTCGAATTTAGCCATGGTGTAAGGAATTTAGCCTAATATAGTTTCTCTCTGGCGTAAAAAAGATAGTGTTCATCAGAAACTGAATTTTTCCATCACAAAACTTGGAAGAGGATGTTACATCTAGGATTTAAATCTTCATACCTAGCATTGCTATCTGATAGATTGAGATCAAGATGATAGCCAAAACGTACCTAAACTTACAGAGACATTACCATTAAAAAGTTTTAGTGGCTCAGCAGGGATAAAAATTGGAACTAATAAAAGGCATACACAAATAACTAATTTAAATGTGAAACTGAAATATGTAGTGTCCCCTGTATAGTGGAAAAATGTTTAACCTCTTGCCAATTAATTAATAATAGGAAGTGCTGACTCATTAAATATGTTTAAAAAGCAAGAAACTCTTGCTCAAAAAGGTATACTACAAAGTGGATAAATTTTTCTGATTCCTTGAATTAAGTAGTTCATTTTAATTTATGTGTATACTCCTGTATATATATTTCTCGATTGTCATATTTGTACTTAGGTTGTGCATTTTTGTTTTTATATTATATTTTGTCTTGATATTAGAATTTAAAAAATTTTAAAATAAAAAATTTCATTTATGAATAAGTATTTTGTTTGTTTCTTTTCCTTTGAATTTTAACTTATGTTATCTATCTTTGTTAATAAGAATGTAATTAATTCTTCAACAATAAATAATTTTGAATCGATTCAAGTAAACTTGTGTATAATGTTAACGAATGCTGAACAATAAAATGAAGGTGAAATGAATTTTATTATGATCAGTATATTTTTTTAGTCGCTAATTTTCTTAAATAATCAGTTTGGAAGTATGTGGTCACTTTTATAGATTATAAATGTAATAATTTAATTTTAAATTAGTCATCAAACATGGATATCAATAACTTGTATGCACAGATCAATTACTTTCTTGTATGGTTGGGTGCTGGTAAACCCCTTTATGTATTTAATAAATAGAAACACTTGGCAAAACATACTTTATTTTAATAAAAATCACAGAGGTGTTATTTTAAATTGATTTATTTATGTTTAAAAATGGTTTATACATAATGTTTACTTCTTCATCTTGCTTAACACTTTATAATGTATATTTATTGTTCTAAATTTAAACATTTAGGCCAGTCTCTTAAGGTAGTAAACCCAGGTAAAGGATAATGAACAGTTCTTAAAATCTATAAGCCTTAGGACGAATGCTTCTTAGGGAGATTGTGGATGCTATGTCATCCGAACTTCAACGAATTCTTTTTTTATTTTCATTGTATAAAACATTTATTTGACCCGGAGTGAAACATTTACTTTACTTTCCTGAATTTCCACTTGAGAATTATTTTTCAACTGGCTAATTTCTTCTTTCAGTGAAAGTATTTCTATATTTGATTTGTTGCATTTTTCAGTAATTTTGTTTAGTTCTTCATGAAGACTCTTAATAGTTTTCTCTAAAATAATAATTTAATTTTTAATATTGAAATAAAAGCAATTATCACTTCAAAGTTTAATATTTAATAAAAAAATTGTTTTGAAATGATTGTAATGTTAATTAGTATATGCTAAGTTGTGTAATTTTCTTTTCAAAGCCACATTTTTTGTTAATAAGGTAAATTTGTACATACGTTTCTAGTTCTGATGATACCAATATATTTTGAGTGTCTGTTTCCAAACTTTGATTCTCCTTGTCCTGGTCTGCAGTTGACAATTGTCTGGAATGCCCCGAAATATTAACAAAGCTCTCAATAAATGTTTGTCGATATCTTTTTGCCTGCCTTCTTAATCTATCTTCACTTTCTGCAGACAATTGTCTTTTTTTCAATGGGAGATTTTCAGTAGGGACTGCTGTTTGTTTTAAGTTTCTACCAGTCTTAGTGGAGTAGTTTAATAGCCTCTGTTGTAAGGGTATTTCAAAACTATCCTTCGAAAAATGTATGGAACAAATACAAGCTTAAAAAAGAAACAAGACATAAAATTAATCATATTCAAGTTAGGTTTGCAAAAATCATACCATTTTTCAAATTAATTGTATCTTTTCACCCTCAACCGTTGACCCAGGCTTTGGCTATATCTGTTTTCGGAAATCCAAAATACTTAATATTTGTTCTCTTTGTTTTTCTTAAATAGTTCTTGCTGCCAAACACTGCACAACCTGGCATTTTGTTAGTAACTACACACCCTAAAATATAGTAGATTTTAATGTATCAATAATATAATAATAATAATAATAATAATGATATATTAAAATAACAATAATGAATATAAACTATTTCTTTTATCTTTAAAATACAACAAAAATGTTACATAACCTAACTTTATATCAATTACACTACCAACTTAATTAGAAATTAATTTAATAATACGTACCAATAATTTCTAAACAGGCCTATTGATATATAGAAATGATATTAAATATTAAGATAAATATATCTATAAACTTCTAAACACTACCAGGAAAATATTAGAATAACTTTAAAAGTCGCTTTTTAACATTGGAGACATAGGCAAAACAAAAATATGCTCCGCAGGTGACGTCATGCGCAAGAATGACCAAATTTCGTACCGCTTACCGCTTCACCTGTATTCTTCCACCATGGTATTTTTAATACAAATCCCGATGCACGTCAGCAATGACGTCGGTCATTCGTCATAGTACTACCAACTAATTAAAATGTCCCTAACTAAGCTAAAAATCCGAAAATGTCACGAATATTTACGAGCATTCATGAACGGAGTCATATTACTAAAAAACCAAAAAATATAATGGTGATTATTTTGATAATTTTAGAATTATTTCAGTTATTAAATTTATACATGTCTAATTCTTGATAATATAAAATTTATAAAAATATTATCATATGTTTAGAACTCAAAAAATAATACTTTACATTAAATAATTTTGACATTCTGTGCGCCCATGAGACTCGTTACAGAGAAGAAATGTCATTACGGCAATTGGTACACCTTGTTGCGCTGTTGCAACCACTTTTTAAAAAAATTCACTATTCACTGATTTACTTATAGGTTATGTTTATGTTAAGTTGTTGATTCTCGATTGTGCATTTCTTCTTTTGCCTGTATTTTTAAGCTTTGCTAGTTATACTTATAAAAAACTGTTTTTTTTTAAACAACCATTGTGTGAATAAGACGATTATTTGGTCGTTTATTTTTAATACAAAATGCCTAAAAAACTAAATAGTCATTGTAAGGAGTTGATAGCTTCTTTAATCCACTATTTTGAACGAGAACGTGATAATGATGGACCACTTTTACCTTTAACTGCTGTAAGAGAGGTAAGTTTCAAGTTATAGAAATGTATAGAGATATGAAATTGTTTTCTTGCATTTTTTAGCGAGTTGCTGTGGCTCTAAACATAAATATTTCTACTGTCAGTAGTATTTCCCAAGCAGTCAAGAATAATGAACTATTAAAATCGCCACCTAAAAAGCGTTTATACAAAAAACCAGTACTAACACAATAACATTGGATACAAGTGGAATCCGAAATGTTATTTATAACATGTATGAAAGAAGTAAGTACAAGATATATTTTTCATCCAATCATAATTTATGTTTCTAATAAAAGTTTAAATTTGTATATCTACAGTACTTAATCACATACCTATTTATTTGCAGAACATATAACTTTGGAATCTTTAAGAGAAAATTTAATTAAGAAGCGAATGTTTAATGGCTGTGCTACATCATTGTGGATTGTATTAAAAGAATTAGGTTTCAAATGGAAAAAAAGAAGACGCAAGACATGGTCTCATGGAGCTTCTGGACATTGTTGTGAAGAGAGTTCAATTTTTAAGGAATTATGTAGATGCAAAAAAAGCAGCTTTATATCAGTTTGTTTTCATTGATGAAACATGGATTTTTCAAAATGGAACAGTAAACCGCTCTTGGCAAAATGATGACAAAAGAAGTGTTAGAAATACAAAAATTGATGGCAAGAGGTGAGTCACGAAATTTAAAGTAAATGAGGGTGTTAGTATTCTGGCTATGATGAATATTATACATGTACTTTTCAGGTAGGTATTCCAAGACTTACATATACAGGGCGTTTCAAAAAGGTATGTCATAAATTCTTCCTTAGATAGATTACCAAAAAATAAGTAGATTTGGCTATATTTACCTACCTATATCAAAAACAATACCAAAATGTAAATAAAAGAGGTAGTTTTTGCAGGGGCCGGGCCTCAAGCACAGCCCTAGACACACTACTGATTTTTATATGCATTTTTTGCACAATAACTCCTGACCTACTCTTAGTTTTGTTGATATGTTAAGTTCAGGACGGGTGAATTGCTCTAGAAATTCAGTTAAAAAATGGCTCGTTAACTAAGAAAGATACAAAGTTCATTTCGCTATAAAAAAAATTTAAAAATTCATAGTTCTTTTTGATTTTAAAATCGATAAAGCAAGTTTCTTTTTTTAAAGGGATCCTTTTAAATTTTTTTTCATATAGAATATTGAGCCTTCAAATCTACAGCATTGGCAAAAAATCAAATAAAAAATCGCAACAGCAAAATTTTTACAAATGAAGGGTACAGGAATAAAACAAGGAATGTCCATATTTTTAAGAAAATTGGGTTAGACCGACATTGTTTAGTAGTTTTTGTGTACTTGAGCCTGGCAACAACCGAACAGGCATAAAAGCAGAGATGTCCACAATACAGCGAAATAAGGAATCGCTATACAGGCATAAAACCAGAAATGTCCAGGCGCAACCGGAATAAAAGTGGAAATGTCCGCCTCAGCAGCATCATAATGATGTGAAAATACGTTACAGTTTAATAAAAATTCCAAACTAGTCTTCACTTGTCTGTGTTTTAGGGTAGGTGCGGTTGTTTGTTTACCTTAAAAGCATGACCTCCGAAAGCGGTATAAGTGATTTGAATCCAAAGAAAAGACAAAGGACCGCAGAATGCAGGATGTCATGAAAAAGCTAAAATTGTCTTCACATGAAAAAGGGGGCCCATGCAACTGCAAGAGACTAAAATGCTTTGAAACCATTAATGATTTAGAACGTAGTGCAATTTTATTTGACTTTAACCAAATGAGTGGGCATAATGAACAAAACAACTATCTGTGTGGTTTGATCTCTGTAATACCTGTGCAACGGCGCAGATCTAGAAAACCAGAAACTAAAGCTCTATATCATGATAGTACTTATGCATACAAGGTAAAAAAAAAAGAGATACTGTTGTGAAGGAAATCCCTGTGTGTCATAAAGCTTTCTTAAGCATTCACGGAATCTCCAAAGGTAAATTAGAGCATCTACAAAAATCATTGAAACACATGGGTTTAGCACCAAATGACAAACGCGGTAAACGTGCTAAATTTATCAAGAAGTTACCTGACGATACCTATGCTAAAATAAAAGATCACATAAACTCATTTAAAGGAAGGTTGTCACATTATAGCATTAAAGACACCAAAAAGATATACCTACCGGAGAGTCTTAAGATTAAGAAAATGTACATAATGTTTCAAGAGTTTCCCAATGTAAAAGCTTCTTATGAAACGTACCGAACGATTTTTAATAGTAAATTTAATATAAGTTTTGGACTTCCACGTAGTGATACTTGCAGCACATGTAATAGGTTTACAGCGGAAATAAATAGATTAAAAAAGGAAGGAAACTTAGAAAATTAAATAAGACGATTGACAGTGGAAAACGAAGTACATAAGAAGAAGGCTCAAAGATTTTATGATGAAAAAAGAAAGGCAAAGAATAAAGGGAGAACTACTAATAATTTCGTAGCAATTGCACTAGATTTTCAGAAAAATGTATATCTACCAAATGTGCCAACTAATGATGTCTATTACTTGCGACAGCTTAGTTTATATTCATTTAACATACATGTAGTAAACGGTTTGCAAGTAGATGCCATATATTCAGACTTTTCTAAAGCCTTCGATCAAGTCAATCACGAATTACTATTACTCAAACTGCAAGCCTACGGATTCCCTCCCTTTCTTCTAGAGTGGCTTAAAAGTTATCTCATTGGTAGAGTGCAGCGTGTCAAAATAAAGAATTATTTGTCTGATCCCATAAAAGTTTCTTCTGGTGTACCGCAAGGGGCCCACTTAGCTCCATTACTTTTTAATCTATTCATTAATGATGTTGGATCTGTTTTTGAATATAGTAATTATCTGCTATTTGCTGACGATTTAAAGATTTACTTAAAGATTAACAGTGGTGATTGCTGTAATAATATTGAAAAAGATTTCCATGCCTTATGTAAATGGTCTTCCTCTAATGGTCTAACCCTAAACACTAGTAAGTGTTACTGCATTACTTTTACAAAAAATCATAATCAAATAACACATAACTACTCTCTGAATAACAATACATTAATTAAACGTGTTACCGAAATTAAAGACCTGGGAATCGTGTTTTGCTCAGATCTTTCGTTTAATAATCATATCAATCTTATAGTTAATAGAGCAATGAAAATGTTAGGCATGCTGATAAGAAACTCTAGATCGTTATCTTTAGATGCCTGTAGAATGGTTTATATTGCATATGTGCGGTCCATTTTGGAGTACAGCTCTACCATATGGTGTCCATTTTACATAAACTCTGTAAAAAGGATTGAAAATGTCCAAAATAAATATCTACGATATTGTGCCTTTAAAGTTGGTCTAGCAGCAGGTACATATAATTATTCCACAATTCTGGATTTAATAAACCTCCCAACCCTTGTTAATAGAAGAATATTGATGGATCTATCATTCCTCCATAAGATCATAGCCGGGATTATTACTTCTGATGAGTTATTAGCTATGATTGAATTTAGAGTTCCCACAAGAACTACAAGAAATAATAGTTTATTTGCCATTCAACTTCACCTTACCAATTATGCTTATCATGCACCTCTACCTAGACTAATGCGACTGGCTAATCAATACAATTTAGACATCACTGGGTGTTCTATTAGTCAATTTGTGAATGATGTAAAGAGAATTTGTTTTTAATATCTTTAGTTTAGTTTATTACATTTCATATATGAAATTTTGATTTATTGTGCCTACCTTTTTTTTTTTTAATGTACTTAAGCTATTTTATTTTATGTAATTTATTGATACTAATGGATTATTCCGTAATATATATATTTATTTATTTATTATTTATGTTCTTTCATCTGGTATGTCCCTCTTTTACACTTACCCCGAACATTTTGCTAACAAAGGATCAGATGAAGTGTCCACCTTTCTTTTTGATTTCATCGTTAATTACTTAGGTGCCGAGGTAAAGCACTTACATGTTTTTTTTTATTCTGCGGGTGGTCAGAGTAAAAACTTTACCATGTTCGAATTCATGCATTATGTGGTTCATACTGTTAAACGGCTAGAATCGATAAAAATCACATTCCCCATCAGAGGATATTCATACTTAGAGTGTGGTAAAAACATGGGACTTGTTAACCTAAAAACAAGGATGAAAGTACCGAATGATTGGTATGAATTACTTCGCAACTTTAGGAAAAATCCGAATCCCTTTATTGCCATTGAAATGAAACAGTCTATTGTCAGAGATTGGACAAAGTTTTTTAAAACCAAATTTGTATCAAAATGTCCTTTTCCCATTCAGTCTATAAGGGAAATTATATGCCAAAAAGATCATTCACGTTTATTAAGTTACCGTTTCAGTTACAGTGGTACTTGAATAAAAAATATATAGGTAACATATTTTGACTACAGATGACTGCATAATGTAATAAAAAATCTGATGTGTCCAACACATGACTTTCCTATCTAGTTATTACAGGCTTTTTCCGTTTATTGTGTACAACCTATTGCAGCATCTCTATAAATGTTTAGAGGATAAACTAAATATATACATTGTCCACATACATCTACCGAGAAACATTTTTCTATATTCATTGAAAATGAAAATACTGAAAAATTTAAATTTAGCACTTTTCCTACAATTTTTCCATTACGGTCCATTTAAAAAAAAAATCATGTATGAACAAATATTATAGAGATCGATATCGCAAACAACTTTTATTTCAACAATTTTCATAAAAATCAGAATTTTGCACATTTTGTCAAATTTCTCGAATACGGACCATTTCAGGAAATTTTTACATAAGGCAAAAATTATAGATAATAATATTAGAAGTAACTTTTATTTGAACAATTTTCTTCTCCAAACATAAATAACAGATATATTCCATAAAATATATAAACGGCCTCCCATAAAGTACCCCCCCAGATGTTCCGACTTTGTCCAAAATCTAATCATTTCACGTCAGGCCGAAATAAAACTTAAGTTTAAAATTTATTGATTTTTTCTTTATCCGTTTTTGAGTTTTCTTCAAATTTCGAAATTTACACATTTTCTCAAATATCTCGAATACGGTCCATTTTAGAGAAATTATTTATGGGACAAAAATTATAGAGAATTATATTACAAACAACTTTTGTTTGAACAATTTTTAAAACAAATATTTTTTTTTACATTTTGTCAAATTTCTCGAATACGGACCATTTTAGGAAAATTTTGTAAATAACAAAAATTATAGATAATTATATTAGAAGTAACTTTTATTTGAAGAATTTTCTTCTCCAAACGTAAATAACAGATATATTCCATATAATATAAAAATGAGCACCTATAAAGTACCCCCCCAGATGTTCCGACTCTGCCCAAAATCTAATCAGCTCATTGGACGCTGAAACGAAGCTTAAGTTTAAAATTTGGTGTTTTTCTGTGTATCGGTTCATGAGTTATGCGTTATACAGACACACACACACACACACACACACAGACACACAGACACACACACACACACACACACACACACACACACACACACAGACATCATCGCGAAAATAGTCAAAACGGATTCACGGGACCACAAAACGTAAAAATCCGTCGAAAACTCGAAGTCGAAAAAAATCATGATTCCTATACTTTCCTTATATCTGTATACAGATAGGAAAGTAAAAATGCTTTAATCCATTAGGTAACAAGTGCGCGGCGCAGCGGCGGGTGTGGACATTTCTTGTTGTATACCCAAAGTCTTGGATATTAGCGGATATTTTTATTTATTTTAGCAAAGGCAGAGTTTATTGTATTACAGTTATTATTTAATTTAGTTACTATATGTTTTTCCTAACGTTGTCTAAAAAATAATTATTCTTTAAAATTATTTGGAAGTTGTTACATTGAAATTAACATTAAAAAGTGGAATATCTCTTAATGTTGTTTTAGTGACATTCCTGGTTTTATTCCTGTACCCTTCAAATAAAAACGTTTTTTTGAATGTTAGTTTAACCCCCTGTAACTTTGTTAGGAGCCAGTTTTTGATATAGGTAAATATAGCCAAATTCACTTATTTTTTGGTAATCTATCCGAGGAAGAATTTATGACATACCTTGTATATTTAGGTACTAAACGTGTAATGCAGATGTACTTATTGTAAGTCTTATATATGAACCTCACAAGTACTGCCAAATATTTCCTTTAATTATTTTCATTTACATTTTATTACTATTATACAAGGTGTCCCATATAATTATGTTCAAATTTTAGGAGCATGAAGTACACTTCTTTTCAAGTAAAAAACAGCAATATTACATACCGAGTTTTATTTCTTTCAAAGTTACATGCCTATACATTATTGAAAAATAATAAATAATCAAAATTCATTCTTAATGTAAATAAAATCATATTTTATTTGAAAAAAAGTCACTCAATATATTTTTGGCGTTTAGTTTTACTTGAAAAGAAGTGTACTTTATGCACCTAAAATTTGAACATAATGATGTAGGACACCTTGTATATCTGTATTTGTATTCATTACATTTTAAATTTCAGTAGAAGTATAAAAAAATTGCAATGAAATTACATGACTATATTATTATATAAATAAACATTTTTGTTATAGATATATTATACTCAATGCTGGCAACGAAAATGGATTTATTAAGGGTGCTGAAGCTATATATTATTCAAAAACTAAATTAAATGATTATCATGGAGAAATGAATAAAGACAATTTTTTAAATTGGTTTGAAAACCAACTACTAAAGAACCTTCATGAACCTTCTCTAATTGTTATGGACAATGCTTCATATCATAGCATGTTACTACATAAGACACCAAATACAGGCTCATCCAAAGCTGAAATACAAGAGTGGCTAGCAAACAGAAACATTGATTTTTCTGTTAATATGTTTAAAAATGAACTTCTGCAAAAAGTTGAACAGTAAGTATTATGTATAAAAAAAACTCTATTTACTGCTTCTTGATAAAATATATGCGAGAATAAATATTTTGCTGATTTAAATAATAGGAACTACAAGAAAAACACATGTTTTTATCATTACATTTTAGACAACTGTAACAAAAAATGGTAGGTCTCTAAATACTCTTTAACTAAATTAGATCACTATCACCAATATACTATTAGGGAATCGGACAGCACTAAATATTTAGTTAAAACATTTATTACTTCTGCAATTTTTGTGGATTCTTTAGATTTTACTAATAATAATGCAAATTATTACATAACTGCAAGAACCTAAAAATCAGATATTAAAACCCCTTATATGCCCTGATGATGGATAAGTAAATAGCCCAAAAAGACTAAAAAATCGTGTTTCTGTTGCATTTTCTCACTTGTAGTACAAAAACTTGTTAGTTATACAGGACAGATATGAAGTCAATTAAATTTGACTATTTTGGGGTCAATAAAAATCTACAGGTTAATCACATTCTCGAGTTGTATAGTGAAAACCAAATCTGTCTTTTTTAGAATTAGAACTAAAATTTTAAATTTTGTTACAAAATTTGCTATATTCATGTACCTATCATTAAATCTTCAATATAATGCATCTTTTAAGGGACATGATAGATCTTTTAGGTCACAATGATTTAATACCCCAAACCCAACATAACATGTGTCGTTTCAGTAGGACAGTTTAGAATATTGACACATGATAAACGAAACCTAAGTAGATATAAAACATATTCCTTTTTCAGATTGAAATCACCAAAGGTATATTTGGTAGATAATTTAGCAGAACAGTATGGACATAAAGTGTTACGTCTTCCTCCCTACCATTGTGTTTTTAACCCCATTGAATTAATTTGGGGCATTTCCAAACAATATTATAATAAACATATTGGTAGAGATGGTAATAAAGAACAAGATTGTTTAAATATGTGGTCTGAAGCACTTCGAACGATTACACCCCAAATATGGAAAAATTCTATTGAACACACCGAAAAAGAAATATTAAAATGGTATGAGGGAGAAAGAGTTTTTGATAGATTGAAAATTAAGCCTATTATAATTAACCCCAACAGCGATAGTGATGACAGTGATTCAAGTACTTGCGATTTGGATTAGGAGAAATTATAGAATTTTTGTAGGAATTACAAAGATTAGTAGATGAGAGAATAGTATATTATTAAACGAGCAATTTATGGTAGCCATTATTCACGCAGGGTGACGTTTGCGTCCCGAGCCGTAGGCGAGGGGCGCAAGTCACCTGAGTGAATAAAGGCCATAAATTGCGAGTCTAATACTATACTTTGTCCACGACCATTATGGTTTCTTTATTAAATAAAAGTTAAGTGTAGAATGGAAAGTTTTTATTAAACATAGGCAACTAACTGTTGTTTTTTCCATTTTTCGATTTTTTGATTTATCGATTTTTTGATTTTTCGATCTAGAAAATATCGTTATGGAAAGTATCGCCTATCTTTAGTTATCTACCGGAATGTGCCAGAATTACAAAAGCGTGAATTATCATAATTCACTCCGTGATATATGGGTACTATATGCTTTTAGTTAGGAGGTAGAATATTGATTTATTATTAAGTGGTCGTGTACAAAATATATTTTTTAAATAATACATTGTCTTATTTTAATAACAATAAATAGTTCAATATATTTCTTATCTGTATTTTTATTTATTCCAAAATATATATAAAAAATAAAAAACTCAAAGGTTTCGCTATGCGAGTCTTACAATTAAATTATATTTACAATGGTTTAAAAAAGATTACTTAGTACCAATAAAAAAATAAAATTAAGATTTTTTATAAAATATTGAATATACAGTGTCTGTAAAAGGTCTTTACAAAAACATACCACATATTCTTTTTTAAATAATTGCACCTTTAAAAACTCTACGCCAATGGAAGAAAAGGAGTTTGAGTATGAAATTTAGATTGCGCAACTCATTTACTTTAAAAAAGGTACTCCTGATAAGACTCGATTACTCTCATGGTTTTGACGAAATTTGCATTTTAGTAATTTTAGAACATAAACAATAATTATTAAAATACAAACTTTGTCAAAACCATGAGAGTAAATCGAGTGTTATCAAAGGTACTTTTTTGTAGTAAATGAGTACCCAATCCAAATTTCATACTCAAACCCCTTTTCTGCCATTGGCGTAGAATTTTTAAAGGTGCAATTATTTAAAAAATCAAGTTCTACGCCTATGTATTATTATCGGACAAAATTTTATACGATGAAAAACATAAAAATGTACTTTTTTCATATCTTCTTCAACACCTCTAATCGAGACTTTTAACAAAAATACTCGATTCTTGCTATGTACGATTTTTTAAAGAATATTAATTATTTGCCTGCAATACGTATACAAAAACATTTATTGTTGGTTTCCATAGTTTCATCTAAA